TTTTTAGACTATGGGAGGAAGCTGGAGTACCTGGGGAGAACCCACAAATGCACAGGAAGAATTTGGAAACCTCATACATAAGGATGTTAGGCCAGGAATCAATCCAAGGACCTTCTTGCTGTAAGGAAACAGAGCTAATACTCACATCTGAGTATCCACAAAATCCATCTTGACTATAATGCTTTGATTGTTTGCGAGGTCAGATCCTTTTAACATGCTTGACATCACAGCAGTGCAACAGCGAAGGAACTTGCGACCCAAAGTAAATTCAAGCAAATAGGCTCCAGACTACTGAGGTGTCAGTTGCTCATAAAACAATGTTATAGCCATTTAGGGTCAAATAAAATGGCAATTTTAAAGGTATATATTGTCTTATTTATTGATTGTCCCACATGCCACTCTTTGTTGTGTGCTCATCTAACACCAATGTGTCTGCTTTTGCTAAACATAATTCTAGAGTTTATGTATCCAGTTAGCTTTGGCTTTCAAATCATTAATAGTTGAAAAACAACAGTCTTAACATTGTATGAGAAAAAGAGAAAGGCTTTAGAAAACTGAGGAGTCCAGAGTGTATTTGCTCTGGACTCACATGCGCAGTCACTCAAAAAGCCACTTGGGCATATCATACCCACATTTCTGGAAAACTCATCCACAATACCTTTAATAATTTCTAAATCTGCATAATTATTACTGTATACATAAATTAAAATGGTTTAGTTGTAATTAATTAATGATTACATATAAGACTCATAGATGACTTACAGAGACACATACCTTAACTTTCCTCCCCTATGAAACACAAACCTAATTCTGAGAAGAGCATGAATTTTGTATTTGCAATCTTTAATGTTTTTTTTTTTGATGTGAAAATCTCATTTCTGTATTTTTGTTGTCATTTTATGGTCTGTACATTAACAATGAAAATGTCAAATTCATTAGGATATTCTAATTGAGAGCATTACTCCAACACCCTCTGTTTTAGAGGGGAACTGATTGTACTGGAGTTGGTGAATTCAAAATACAGTAGGAATTAGAAATCACCTCATGCAGACCGTGCCTGGCCCCCCATCTAGCAACACCCCTGAGTCCTGTTGCCTCAGATTTAGAGGAGTTCATTGTAAACTGGCCTTTTCACACTGAGGAGCAAACCACTTTGTCACAATGGAGTGAGAGAGAGAGAAAAGAGAACCATGCAGAAAGCAAAAATAAGATCACACTGACCTTTAGTGCCTTTAGATCACCAACAACAAGATCAGTGAAAAGGGGCAGTGCTGGTGGAGTTCATCACTTGCCAGGAGTGGGTTTGATTTTGTGCCGAGGATGCAGACCCAAGTCTTGTTTTAGACATACAACGATAAGTAGTAAAGTCCTTAAAAGCCATCAATACACCTCATGCTCCTGCAGCACAACACCCCCCCATGAAATATTTGATTAAATATGATAATTGAATAAGAATACTTACATGACTTATTCAGATTAAGGGGTTAATTGAGAGCTGTGAGCTGTTAATCTGTCATATCTTGCCCCTTAAACTCCCATGTCATTCACCTGTCCTACTCTGCCCGGTTTCTCATGCTCATTATATCCACCTGTGCCAGCTTCTATTCAAACCCCTTGCTCCCAGTTGTCAAGGCCAGATTGCTCTTGAGTCTTTGGTGAATGATTATTGTCATGTTACTAATTGTGCTCTGATTGCCTGATCCTAGCCCGTTTCTGTCTTCGGACCTTCGAGCCTGCCCCTGTTCTGATCTATTTGCCATTCCAGAATCTGTTGGATTCTATTGTGGACTGTACCTGGATCTGCCTCTTGACTTCGCCTTCTGGATTGCCCTGCCTTCCTCCGTCATCTGCTCAGATCTGATCACCTGTCAGCTCTGTTACCGGTACATTCAAGGCCTCGGAATTCGGAACTCTCTGTGCAACCGCTGCGTCTTGTCAGGTGGCAGGCTGGTATCAACCATCGTTCTTTGGACACGGGCTGTACTCTAAACCAGGTTAATAACTCACATGTTCAGATCATCCTCCGTCAGGTTTTCATGGTCACTAACCTCTGCTTCCTCTCTTTTGAGTTATCTACCTCAAACGCTCTAGCTGCTTCAACTCTGCTTTGTCGTTGCTTTGATAAACGCGTTTGAAGTCATCCCACTGTCTGTCTTTCCTGAATACTGGGTTTTTTACAGAATCACTCGTAAAGAGAAACAACCCATCTTTTGGCTTCTTTTCCAATTAAAAGTATCCTTTCCGTCAATTTAGACAACCATTTTCAGTGGTTTGCAGCTATTCCCTTATCTTTCCACTTTCAGAAGATATTCACATCTTCCGAGATATTTTATTACCTAAACAGTATTTTCTTTCTACAACTTTATCTGGAGTGTTCATTGGTCATTACAACACTTATTTGTTAACTGTTTATTAACAAACCTCTAAAGCTTTAACATTTTTTTTTTCCTGCTGAGATTGAATTA